GCAAATTTTCAAATATATATCGTGATAAATATTTTTGGCCATATCGCCCTGCTCTAGTAGCTATAACGCTCAGACAATCCATCAGGCTTCGTAGCTTAGCAAAGTCCTACTAAAACATTTTTTGACAGATTTTTGAGCGCCGTGTACCACATAAAATCGGTTTGAGGTCAGTAAACATAGCCTATATACATAGCTTATAGTGCGGAAAATACGGTACTTCTAAACGAAGTAACAGGAACCAGGAAGGTAGAATTGGATTTATATACCACCTTTCTAGTCTTCACACACTTTACACTAGAGGCCGGAGTTTATTTCTATGCAAGTGCTTTATGTCTAAATCCAACACCTACATGTATGTTTTGGAATTACTGTGTCAACGTCTCTCAAGTGCCATAGATGTAGAATAAATAGAGTGGCACGATATTCTCTCCCCTCAGAGAACCTGGGTTACAATGTAACCAATCAAGCTCAGGTTGAAGCTTCAAATCCAGAATTCACAAATAATTAAAGGACTCAGGGTCTTTTATATATAGTCAGTGAGTAAATATGAGGGATCCACACAACAGTTAAGTTATTCTCACTGTTTTAAAGATGAGTACATAAATATTAAATTATCTAAATAATACATTAAAAAACAGAAATGTAAATAATTTACTGTGAAAGCATTGTCAACTTAATCTAGTCGATAAACTAATCAATAAACTCAAATAATTAAATGACCTCCTCAAACTCAGTTTAATATAAAGAAAGCTGTTTCTTTTCTTTTCCCACATTAAATACATGAAAAACATTCACATAGATTATATACTATTGACCCTTAACCAATTACTGCTATTTACCAGTTCCACTTTGATAAAGCACATGAACTTCAAGATAGAAATGACTCCTTCTGTTCACAGTTTCAAATTTAGTTATCAGACTGTAAAGATTATGCTTCAACACACCAGATTATCCTATCTATCTTAAATCAATATTTCTCTCTGTCTACCTCACATACACCAACTAACACCTCATGCAATACGGTCTCCAAGTTTCCACCGTATTGCATGAGCTGCCATGTGCTCCTTCAAAGCCTTGGCTCTGAGATGTTGTTGGGTCATGAAGAAACTCAAACACGTCATGGGGAGAGCGCCAGAATCTGTCTGAGCTGAAAGATCGCATTCCTCCTCTTCCTATGCTTTATGACTGCAAATTGATTTCTGAGCCTGTTGGTGAAAAGTACACCATGAGGTGAAGGATGGATGGATAGATGGATGGATAGAAAATGAAAGCCAGAGGACGAATGGTCGGGTGATAAGCGGGCCTGACAAACCTGAAGGGCTTATCACTAATATCCCCTCATTTCAGAGTCAATTACAGTATGGAGATGCAGTGAGGTGAATACTAAATAGGAAGTAGCGCTTTAGCAGTGAACTTAAAAAAAAATACATACATCACATATAGGCACATATAAGCAGATAGTGTAGAAGAACAAAGGAACAATGCACAAGATTGTCAATTTAATATAGATAAATTTAGCTCTGTATGCAAAAGCAGAAATATTAAAGTGAGCCAGACTAATTACAAGCCACACCAAGTGGCGTCATATAATCATAGAAGCTATTTCAGATAACCTCAGCAGAAAATCCTTACACAATAAACCCTTCCATATAATGAGACGCCTGGCCTCGTTTCATTTGAATGCTTCTGCCCAAATTGAAATGTCCGCTTACAGCCTGGAATGAACCTAGCACGGTTGCAAATTGCAGAATTTGTTTTCAGTTCCAGGACTAAAGAACTGCAAAAGCACCTATTACCATTCAAGTATTTAATTTGTGCAGACTAACAAAAACAACAACTTTCACTCAAGCTCATTACACTACACACTCTCTCCCAGATTTTTTGAGTTGTGACGGTTATGTAAATGGGCTCGAGTGACTGTAGAATTTAAATAGGAATCTGTAATGTGGTCTGATAATGAGTTGCCTGTTTTCTTCAATATTAGATGTAATTTAAAGTACGAACGTGACGCATTGCACAATTCTCCGAGTTACTATCGTATTAATATTCTATCTGATATTTTACTGCAGTTTCATTAGAGTCAGAGGCACATGTACTCTTCCACCACACTGTTTGCTAAGACTTTGTTGAAGGTGAGTTTCTAAATCTTCTTATGTTTTTCATTATTGATCATTTAGCAGAGTCAAGCGGTTGCTCCCTTATATTTTAGAACCACAGTTAAAGCTTTTAGTCTTGGAACAAATAACCTAAGATAGATAGAAAATCTAACTTTCATTGCATGGATCTAGCTCTCTATATTTCACAGACTAAGCAATAATAATGCATTTAAGTCAATATAAAGAAAAAAACAAGTGCAATAGATTAATTTAAACGGTTGTAAGTATGGTGGTAGAAGTTTCATAATGTCGGGGTTTAATTCCTGGCTTTTCTAGTCTTCATGTCAAAGAGTCCTTGGGCAAGCTGCTGAACCACACAGACACTTTAAAAGGCTTTCAAACGTGACTTTGCATGTAGTTTATAGCGTAAAAAGTTCTATGACTGCTCAGTAAGGCCAGAAAAATGCAGTATCAGTACTAGTCTAATTAATGCCCTTCTTAATGTAGATGCTTTTGGACTGCAGGAACTTTTTCATACTTCTATTAACTCTTTGAACGGTTGATTGCGCCCTCCTTTTTTCCTATGTCTGTGCTTCAGGATCTATTATCTACTGTACTTCATACAACTCAATCTTAAGGTCTCTTGTTTCAGCTAACCTTGAGAGACCTGAGTGTTACAGTGATTGGTCCAGCTGTAAATGTACAGTAAATTGTCAGAAGTATGAATTCATCAATGGCCACCACCATTAAAAAAGTGCAAACAGCTATTATGTTGACCCTTCTAGAACAAAACAGAGAGAAATGAATCAGCAGTGAAGTCCAAACTGTATTGCGCCTACATGATATGTTGGAAATACAGTGTGATTGTGGCTCATCAGGGGGAAATATAAAAATCCTTGCACGAAATTCCCTTCAGCTTGCTACTCGGTATCCGCTACAGCGAAGCAATCTGGAGCGAAAATGAAGAGGTTGAAATAGGATTATGAGAAAATACGGGACAACAGCAAGAGCCCATGTTTCACTACCAACCACTGGCTGGCAATTACATTAGTTCAGAGTTCCTATTAATAGTGTCAGTGAAAACAACAACAATAACAAAAGATGAATGCCAGGTAGTTCTTGGTAGTGGGGAGGGAGTTATCATCAGTTACCTTTTCTACAGGAAGTCTCTAGAAGTGTTTGGGATTCATGTGCTCAAGAGTGTGTAATACCTTCCTTTAAAAGTCCACAATTTTTAAAAGTGTGCACCATTATTCCCATCACACCAACTATCTCTATTATAAAAGCCTGCTTTGCCAACCTGTAATTGTAGGCGTAACTGTCTAAACTAGTTAGTTTTAACAGGTCAATAAAGCATTGAACATATTTCAGTCAGACAAGTGAGATTTTGAATAATTTAATAGCAGCAGAATATAGCTATTAAAGTTTGGGATCTACACTTCCTGCAAATAAATTGGGGAAGTCATATAGGCACAGGAGCCTACAGGTGGATACTAGTTGGAGAGGTCTAAACAGCAGGCAGCAGGCTGCCAGTTCCCCTTTTTTCCTTGTCTTCCAATGACACTGGAACCCCTCTGAAAAATAACCAGCTCCCTTTCTTAATGACTTGCTTTGCTATCTGCATGATGGATGGTCACCACTTGCTTCCAGGTGACACGATGTCTGTTCCTGTGTCTCTGCAGCCACAGTGGTGCTGACAGGACTGGAGCCCAACACAACATACGAGGTTCGAGTGGCAGCTGTCAACGGAAAGGGCCAGGGCGACTTCAGCCACACGGAAACCTTCCAGACCTTACCCATCCGTAAGTCCGCTTACTTATTCAAATCTGAATCAGTGACGTATGCATATGTGGTCAAAAGTTTACATCCACTGGTCATGGGCATGAGTGGTCAAATTTCCAGCAAGAATTACACCAGAGACTTGTTGATGGCTACAAAAAGCATCTTGTTGAAGTACAACTTGCTAGAAAATTCCCCCAAAAGACAAACGTGTAAAGCACACCCAGTTAGTAAGTTATTAAAGATGTATGCTGTACAATCACTCTACCCTGGAAAAAGAACACTTCAAAGAGGTCATTAAAAGTCCAAATATACCATGACATTCATGCCCATGAGGAGTATATGTACATTTCTGACCACAACGTATGGAATGAAATAATATATTATTAATATATAATAGTTTGATAGCAGTTATACTGGGTTAATTGTTAGCTACTGGCATATATCAGCTGTTAGGATTAGAAAATACAGATGAAATAAAACATCTGTGGAAACTATAGATCATAATAAAGCCACGTGACTGGAATGCAAACATTCTTCAGGAATCTATTCAAGGCACCAGCACCTTAGTGAAATGAAGCCTATTTGCAATCCTCTGCAGCCTTGCCATGTTTCTATCAGAGACGGCTTCCTGCTCCTGTTTCTCTGATATGAATTCAGATTATTTGGGCTTGGAAATAGATCCTGTCAAATTTGTGTCTTGATGTAAAACTGCTGCATTAAAAATTATGCACTGCAGGGGTTTACGGTAAGCATTTTATTTATTCTAGCAATCTGGCACGGCGGGATTGCAGTAAATCCAGGCAAGGCCACAGGAAAAGTGTTTCCATCCTTAATAATATACAGCAGTGCAGCTTCCGAGAATGAATGTTAGAAAGAAGACCCAATTAGCAAAATACAGTGAATAATAAAAACCTGGAGTCAACATTAATTATAGACAGGCAATGGGAGTTACCTTGTAATATGAATTTAATTCAGCTTTAAACCTTCTTTCTCCTTGTACTGCATCCTTATCTCATATGTCACGTTGCCACCTGCCCCCCTCCTTGGGAATGCACATTCCAACACACACATACTCACACAAAGACATTGTTTTACATCTCAGCCTCTGCCTCATGTCTTCCTCAGGAGAGCCGAGTCCGCCAGCAGTCCATGGGCAGAGGGACATGGGCAGGGCCTACAGGCTGGGGCTGGTCAAGCAGGACGACGGAGGCATGCCCATTGTGGAGTATATAGTCAAGTACAAGACTGTGAGTGATTTATTACAGTTAAACACAGCTGCTGCCTTCAAGTTTCTCATGACAGCTCCACTATATCGAGCCTATATAAGTGACAAGTCCAGTTTGATACATTAATACCTTCATTAATGTATCCCTGCTCTGGTCACTCCCATAAACGCAGGCACATTTAACACAGGTAGAAGGTTCACATTTTGTACTTCCTTGTTTTGTAAAAAAAAAAAAAAGAAAAATCTTTCTTAACCTTTTTTTTGAGAAAGGATGATTGAAATGCTGCTGCAATTTTAAACCTTCATTTACTGGCCTCCATTTGTATTTCTGTATCATTAATCAGCTGGAAGCACAAAGTTTAAATTGTAGTAGGCTGCTTTTAAGGGTGTTTTTCATGTCATGTCAATGCATTTGAGTTTTAGTGAGTCATTTCACTGCCTTTTTGTCCTCGTTGTGAAATGGTCACATTAAATCAACGGCACTAGTCATTTGTCACTCGTCCATTTTTCCATCCTTAGGTCAGCAGTTTACCTCCCAATTGCTACTTTTCCAGGTAGCAAATTACAAATGCTTGTTGCTTTTTGGAGAGAAACCTGAAAGGACACAGTGAAAACTGAAATACAAAGAAAGTACCATTTTATGTCCGCTTAGTGAATTACAGTAGTGCAAAAACTCTTGAGCCACCTCATTTTGCTAGGAAAATGGGGGAAAAGGGTGAAAGGATGTACTGAAATGTGCAAATATATATGGAAATACAGTATATAAGGCAAAAACAGCATTTGTACAATTCTAATGAGCTTGGAAGTGAATATTTGGTGTGACCACCTTTACTCTTCAGCACAGTCTGAACTCTCTTAGGCAGCTTTCTTGTCATTTCTTCAGGAATAGTTCTCCAGGCTTCTTGAAGGACATTCAAAGCTCTTCTTTGGATGTTTCTGCCTTTTGTTCTGTTCTCTGTCAACATGATCCCACACTGCTTCAATAATCTTGAGGTCTGGGCTCTGGGGAGGTCAATCCATGACTGATAGGATTCCACTGTTTGTTTTTCTATGAATGTTATGAATGTTCTAAGATTGAAAAGAAAAGCGACTGGACTTCTTTAAGTTTTTCAAAACTGGATTATAGATGGCAAACAGTTGGTGCTGTAGACCACCCCTCTGTTCAAAGATGGTCGTTCACAGTGAACATAGATGGCTTCTTTTACTCCTCTTTGAAACCATCTGTCTTCTCCGTCCAAAATGTGAACGTTGGTATCCTCGAAAGAATGACCTTTGTCCTTTAGATGCCTACGTACAGCTGAGTCTTGTCCTGTCGAGGTGGCCCTCCTATGTTGTGCCATGCATTTATGAAGTGGCTGTTTGGTTTCTCCGATGTAAATGTAAATGTAAAATCATTCCTGGCTGTTGATTTTCGACATGATTTTCAGATACTGTTCATCTTTTTTTTTTTTAACAACACCATGTTGAGATATGACAAGTTTTCAGCTAATAGCTCGCTGGGATCACTTTGTTGTTGCAAAATACTATTTCATGGCTGTCTCACACTGTGTAGTCTTTGGCATTTTCATAGATTCATCTAAAGAAATGGGAACAAATAATGTGTTTTTGTGGCAGGCTGCTAGTAACAAACTGACAACTTAGTTATTTTCATTTTACTACGTTGTCTGTTATGTGTAAACACTAGTTCATCCTTTGAGTTGGGGGCGTTTTTATGCTTCAGAGTCCAGTAACTTTAATCTGATTTGGCATAGAGAACCTGTAGTGATTGGTAACACTGTTTTCTGCTGCTACACTTTTTAAGTAGGTTTCACTTGTTCAATCAATGTATTTTTGTTGTCATTGAGGCTTTTTTCCCCGATTACTAGTCTTTTTTAACAATAAACCCATCACAGTTGGCAGATTTTGGAAACTATTTTCAAAATCAAGAAAAATGAGAGCAACAAATTCAGCACAAGTCAGTGTTTTCTAATAGTTCCAAGTATGTCTTTTTTTTGACAGTCATTAGATGGCACACGATACTGGGAATGCCTTTTCCTTCCACTGGAGTGTGTGTGACTCCCTAGTTTGACATGTTGTGACTGAGTTTACTAGATGATGCTTCTTGAGTATCTTTTTTTCAGCCCTTGTTTCACTCACTTGTTCTAAATGGGGGTACACACGTGAGCAAGTAGTTGATATTGTGTGTGTGTGTGTGTGTGTGTGTGTGTGTGTGTGTGTGTGTGTGTGTGTGTGTGTGTGTGTAAATGCAAAAAGCAGCTTAAACTCACAAGATAAGAGGAGCGACTGAGTTGAGGCCAGGAAGCAGAATAGATGGCACTCGCACAAAAACTCTCCACAGGACTAAGTGGATTTAGGCTGGTCCAAATCTCCTATCTCCCCAGTGCTAATGTGTCCAAGCAGGCATTTCTCTGTCTCATTGAGAAAGCGGCAGAGATTTAAAATAATAAAACCATGCTGCTGAAAAGAGTGTCAGGAAGTCTCAATGAGGCTTTTGGAGGCCGAAAAGGATGCCAGTGAAGATGCTTCACACCCCACTAATCTAATGCCCCTGTCTGGCACCAGGAACACACAAACTGCTTCACTGTGGATGGAACAGAGAGCCTGAAAGCAGACAGCATTTCAGTAGGGATCGCTTTAGGCAGAAGATTCTTATTTTTATCTGCGGGCATTTATAATTGGAGGTATTGACTCTATTCTGCTACCTCACTGACATCAGACATGACATTGCTGACCCTCATGAAGATTCACCCTGAAAATGTATGTTTTTGAGTCAACATAAAACAGATCTTTGCTGATATTTTAAGTATCATCATTTCTTGATTGGAGCCAGACTTTGTTTGTTGTTGTGTTTTGATAAATCCAAACTTGAAATTTTAGGAATGTCGTTGTCAAAATGTACAGAGTAGGTCAGGGGAGAGGTACTAGAGTGCGTATCTATACCGATCTGTAGAACACGGTGGAGGCTCTGTCATGTTCAGGATCTACTCTCTCAGTTTATGAGGTGGCCATTGAACAGGTTATCTCCTAGTTTGAAAGTTAGTGGTTTGCGCTTTGCTTGCTCCAGCCTCCAGTCTGAATGCCTTGCAGAAAATACTGAACCCTAAGTTGCTCTCCAATGCGTTCATGGTCGAGTGAATGTGTGTGAAAGTTAGATAGAAAGCACTTAGGTATTACAAAAAGTAACTGTGTGAATGAGTGTTACTTTGTGAATGAGGCATGTTGTATAAAAGCTTTTGAGTGTTTAAGTAGAGTACAAAAGCACTATATAAGAGCTAGTCCATTTATCATTTCTGCCAGTGGTTTGGGAATCTTATCGAAATAGATGGAGTTGCGAATGCAGAAAAGTACAGGGATAGAAGTGGGTTGCAAAGCAGCTTGTAGATTTAGTTGCAAAGTAGCTTAAATGGCAAGCCCTACAGTAGAAGGGACCCGATCCATTGGTTGATGTGAGTTGGCATGGAGATCAGCTGATCTGCTAGGATTGCTACACTCAGTTTTTGCACAGACTCGTTAGTCAGGATTTTACAATTCAGATGAAATGTTACATATTTTTAAGTCCTGCACCTTGACTTTTGTAAAATACTGTTTTTAATGGTTCTCAAACTCAGGGAGGAAAAAAGTGCCAAGGAGGTGAGACTAATAAGCACACAGTACAGTTAGCATGCTTTCAGCGCCACGCTCTCAGACTGGCTCTTCAGTTTCCAGTGCTTTGTTTGCAGTTGGTTTCTTTATGAAGGCTCGGGAAGGAGTAGAGACAAAAGGCTGAGGCCACAAAGAGAACTGTGTGATACCGATGACAGGCTCAGGATTACTGTTTCTTTATACCTATTCAAACACATCTGTGGGGGCGTTTCACAACCAAGCCTGATTGTAGTAACTCTCAAAACTCCCAGATTAAAAACACAAAGGGTAAATTGCTGTTTATCAAATACAACAACACTTTTGCTGATCGCCTTTGATTCAAAGTGAAACATAGAGCTTTGATTAAAACCAGGTAATAAGGGTGTCTTTTGATACTCTTTATCTTTCTATCCCTCTCTTACCCCTTCCCTCCGCCAGGATAAAGAGGAACAGTGGATGACCAAGCTCGTTCCAGGTGCGAAGGACCATGCCTTGCTGCACCCGCTCCAGTGGAACACGAGATATGAAGTGGAAATCACAGCGCGCAACGTGAAAGGCCTGTCGGAGCCCACCTTCTATCAGTTCTTCATGCCACAGAAACCTGACATTACAGGTAAAAGCATGATAGAGGAAAACTTCAGCTTGTAATTTGCCCTTTTTTAACATTTCCACTTTCTCATAGATGCCTTCTTGAGTTGCTCTTAAATGCCTTTTGAAAGTCCCCAAAGAACACTTTTGAACTTGTTGTGTTAAGTGGTGGGTCATTCGTGCCACTAGAAGGAGCGCTGACGATAACAAAAGCAAGAGAGCAAGATGTTCCAGTCAAGATAAAGCGAGCCTGAAAACGCAGCAGGCCTTGTTGCCGCTTTGCTTTCTGGACAAATGATGCTGCTGTCATCTCAGAAATAGTGCCCCGGCCTCTCCGGCAACAGATTTCTCTCTGTATGATTGTCGAATGGGGTTTAAATCCCACAGAGAAGCACTTTACTCCGAAGTTTTTTAAAGGCGCGTTGAAAAGCTGAGAATTTTTCCTCTGTGAAAAGCCAAAACGTCCTTAGTTTGACAGCCGATTGTCTACATTTGGCCAGTTTTTTGAAGGCATAAGAAAAAGTGAGCAAACAAAACAACTGGAGAGTTTGGAGAACAGATATTAAGTATTAGAGCAATACTCCACAAAGTGAAAGAAGCTGTAAAGGATGAACTATTCAAACTAGTAATCTCTAACAGGATCATGCTCCCAAAATATATTGTACTCTGATAGCGATTTCCATTATCAGGATCACGTTTTCAAACGATTAAGGGAAGAGTGTTTTGTTTTGTTTTTTTACAGGAAGCTTGAGCAGCAGCCTTGACTTCAGTGCATTAGTGCAGTCCCCTTTAAAACTGCTTCAGGGCTTGTGCACACCAGTGCTTAGTCGAGACCACAGGTTTTCAAGCTGAGAGACAAGAAGCACACAGTTGCATGAGGTGAAAGGGACAGGTGGATGTCGGTGTCCCAAAAACAGAAAGACTATAAATGTGGCCCATTTAGCGACACAGTCAGCAGTTCCAGTGTTCACAGTGATCGCTGGGACAGCATTGGACAGTATCTTTTCTATACAAATGCTGTTGAAATAATAATGAAGTAGTTTGCTTATAGTATTCCTTTTGAGTCTTTATAGATGAAAATAAGAAAAAGATGTCTTTCACTTTGTTTTCACGATGCTTCGCCTTGGAGTAACCCATCTGCTTCTGTCTGCCTACCTGAGGCTAGTGCTACATACGCTGAAGTCCTGATGGGGAAAAGAGAGTTGTTTTCTGCCTGTGAAACTTGAGCCATGCTGCTAAAAACATGGTAATATGATGGAGCAGTAAAAGTGGATGAAACTTGGATGTGGAAAGCACCTGTGGTTAAATTCGTTTCAACTTAGGTTTGTTTAGAAAGCACCAATTAGGAGCAGAGTTGCCTCAAGGGGCTTTATATTCTAGGGTAAAGGCACTAGAATATTAGAAAGGCAGCACAAAAGACACATAGACAATATAGGAAAAAGCCAGAGTTTCATAATTACTAATGATTAAAATGATTAATGGTGTATAAACAAATGGAGAGTGAGAAGAAGTGAGTGAAGAAGTGTTCAGTGCAGCATGGGAAGCTCAAAGCAGCCTAGGCTTAATGCAGCATAACTAAGGAGAGGTTCAGGATCATATGATCCAACGCTAACTATAAGCTTTATTAAAAAAGGAAAGTTTTAAGCCTAATCTTAAAAGTAGAGAAGATGTCTGTCTCCCAAATCCATAATGGGAGCTGGTTGCACAGGAGAGAGGCCTGAAAGTTGAAGCCTCCCATTATACTTTTAGAAACTCTAGAAGCCAAGATGAAAAACATATGATCTGTCTTTCTAGTCTCTGTCAGTAGTCTCACTTCAACATTTGGATCAACTGAAAGCTGTTCTGGGAGCTTTCAGAGCCACCTGATAATAATGAATTACAGTAGTCAAATCTAACTTTTTTTTTTTAGGATCTAATCTCAGAAAATGAACAACAATAATTCTGCTTAGAAATCATTGGAAAGAAGTCCAGAACATGTCAGTCTCATGTGTCTGCACATCCTATTCAAATGTCCCTGGATAAAATGCAAGCAGGAACTAAGGGAAAATTTAACATATTTTATGTTGTTCCAATTACTGGCCAAAAAAAGAACCTAAAATGTAAGGGATGTAAATATTTCCCAACATTATAAACTGAGCGGTGGTTATAAAGCAAATGGCCAAAACAAAATTTCTTGTAATGATGGCATATCAAAAAATAGCATTTGGAGAATAGTCAGCAATCTAACTGTAGATTTTAGCCACTCATCATGCAAAAATGCCAACTATTTTCTGCTTTAAGATTTGTCACCGTAAAGAATGTGCCTTGTATTATTGTATTTGCCCTTTTGGCATTTGGCCAAACATGTCAAGATGCTAATATTGTTGCTTTTTGTTTTTATCAGAATTATATTTTTTGACTGTTCTTATTTATGCTTTCACCTCAAGGTTCTTGTAAATGTATCACCGTTCTCCTGTTCAGGTACTCTGACTGTCGGCATCCTTGCTAGGGCTTCATTCTCGTCTGCTCTAATAAACAGCACAAGTATTACAATCACACCACGGTTCGCTTCAAAGAAACCCAGCAGAGCACGAGTGAAAATACCCTCAGGCTGTACTTTTCTTCTCTAAAATATCATTCTTTTCTTCTTGTTTTTTCTCGCTGTTTATCTTATGGTCCTCCTGTGGTGCTGCTTTGCAATTCTGCTGAAATTCATTGAGAATGGAGCGCAGATGGAACGTCTCTAGTCGAGCTCGCTTCTCATTTGAAAGAGCGACACGCACACGGTTACATAAGCCAATATACAGACACAGATAACTTCTTCAGCTCTTGGTCTCAACATAAGAATTTATGTTGAGACTGCGCTGTTCTGCTGCATAACAGTGTATGTGCTTGTTTCTCTCCTGATAGTTTGACTTGAGCCTTCTTGTTTTTTTTTGTTTGGGGAGGGCAAAAAAAGCTAGAAAATTCTAAAGACAAAGATGGTTACAGCTACTGCAGCATCTTCTGTGTAGTATTCATTTAGATTTGGCTTTTTTCTTTTTGTTTGTTCTAGGTTTATCTTTAGAAATAAATAATTATCTTTTGATTGGAAAATTGTTATGATTTACTGCTAGTGTTGACTAGCAAATTGAGCTAGCTTCTATGACTGTGACTGTTTCTTAATTGTGATACTATTATTGTATGATACACACTATGCAAGTACACTATGTAGAGTACTTGTATAACTTGTGAATTTAGTGAGAGTAGTGCTGTCTTAAATTGAACACAGCAAAATGCTCACTCGAAGTAACAGCTGCAATTTTGACCAACTATTTTGCTAGCTGTAGTATGTTTTTAACATATGCAACTTAACCCTTTAAGACCTACCATAGAACCAAGTCCGCCAGAGCTTATATTATATTTTTACATGTTGTGGAGCCATTTTTTGGAGCATTTCAAGTTACTGTACATCAATACAACCATTATAGCCCAAATTTTAATAATGTCTGCATTAAGTGCATAGTAATTACATACATTGCAAAAAAGTGCAACAAACTACAAAATTTTTTTAAATCTGTTTTGTTTTTTAACATATATTTCTAGTTAGAGAAATTTAAGAGGGGTATCCCTCAAAACTGTAAATACAAAAAAGTTGCACAAAATAATTTCCCACCACATGAAATTTATTTTAAGTGTCTTCAGTTTTATTTTTGAAATACACCAATTTTTATATACTGCAGGAAAAACTAAAATAAATATTATAATGCAAATTTGCAATAAAACAGCATATGCATCAAAATAAAATATTTCCAGCAGTGCAATATGAGTTCTAAGCATCCCAGAAACGACACAAAGTTATAGTTTGCCTACTGGTGGTGGTCAGAGGGCCCGGTGGCGCCTGTGTCCGGCAGCCTCGCCTCTGTCAGTGCGCCCCAGGGCAGCTGTGGCTACAATGTAGCTTGCTATCGCCAGTGTTTGAATGTCTGTGTGAATGGGTGAATGACTGAATGTAGTGTAAAGCGCTTTGGGGTCCTATGGACTAGAAAAGCGCCATACAAATGCAGGCCATAAAGTCAAACATAACTTTTAAAAACACCATAAGGCCCTGATGGTAAAAAACTACATTTCCGCAAAATGACGTCACTTACGGTTTCGGGCAGGACGTGGAGGACATGCGATAGTTCGCGCTGATGGACGTAGGAAGTGTTACAAACAGCTGATCGGATCGGCAAAGCGTGTTTCTGGAATATTATGTTTTTGTTGGTGCAAGTGCTTTTTATGCAGTTTTTGCAAAGCCATATGTGGAACCAGAGGCGGAGGCAGACATTTGATACACCCGGGGCTTAGCCCTAAAGGGTAGTATGCATGGACACCTTAAACTAGTTTTTTAATTAAGCAGCAAGGCAGAACAAAGTCGGGGCTGTATCAAGACACAGGGACTAAACCCCAATTCAACCAGACCCAGAACTGATCCAGAATTAAAACAGGACTACAACAGTTCAAAATCAGGACTACTTAGGACTTAACCAAAACAGAACCAGAATCAGAACTAGATGATAGTAGCACTATTCTACCAAAGTAGGGGCGACCGTGGCTGTAGGGGCGACCGTGGCTCCAGGGGGTTGGGAAGCGATCTGAACCGGAAGGTCGCCGGTTCGATCCCTGGGCTCTCTGTCCTGGTCGTTGTGTCCTTGGGCAAGACACTTCCCTACCGCCTACTGGTGTTGGCCAGAGGGGCCAGATGGCGCGATATGGCAGCCTCACGCTTCTGTCAGTCTGCCCCAGGGCAGCTGTGGCTACAACTGTAGCTGCCTCCACCAGTGTATGAATGTGAGAGTGAATGAATAGTGGTATTGTAAAGCGCTTTGGGTGCCTTGAAAAGCGCTATATAAATCCAATCCATTATTATTATAAAGTCCACTATTTAGATTGAGAAAAGTTTATATAATTATTTAGCCTTGTTGTGCAAACAAGCCTGCATAACTTAATAAATGTAGAATTTGAAAAATAACAAACCTAAAAAGAAACACTAGGTACGAGATACATGAGTACCTATGATACGGT